GAGCCACACCTCAGGAGACCAAGCAGCACCAGGGAGGGTGGAGAGCCAGCCTCACCCCCAGCAGCCCTCCAAGCCCCGAGCCCACCCGCAGCCCAGGACAGCACCCGGCGGCCTGCCCTTCTTCAGAACCCCCTCCCCAAATGGCAGTCGGGGAACGGGATGGGAATAAAGACCCTGACACCCCCACCCCCAGATGTACTGTTGGTGCATGTTGTTCTATAGAGCAATTAAAAAGGGAAAGAAGAAGAGGCAGAGGCCTGTGTGGTGCCAGTTTCCCCTCCATCACTACTCTAACCCAAAACCCTAAGTGTCTATATGCAAACCTTGGGGGTGGGCACAGGCACAGGAGGCGAGTGGTGCCATCCAACCACCTATCCATGAGTGCCCACCCCAAGTTCCTACATGTGAATGTCATGAAAATGTTATGAGTGAATATCTAAGATGTACAATAAAATTTTGGGCCCAGGTGGTTATGGCAAATAGAAATGTAATATTGTTGCTCTTATAACACAACTGTGCCCCCAAAAAATCCTACATGGATGGAGTTGAAAATGAAGAGGATTGAGCGGTGAGGGATGGGGAGAATTATCTGAAGGAGTAAAATGCTCCCACATGGAGTCAGCTCCCCCGCTGGCCCCAGTAAGTCCCCCCGTTCCCCGTAACCCACCCAGGAAGAGCAGCCCAAATACCTGTCCCTCCAAACAAACCGCCAAGTCCGCGGAACCCCAGACCAGGGACGGACAGAGCCCCAAAGACCACCAGAAGCCGGGACCAGCAGTCCACTCCCCCAGAGCCACCAAGACCCCCAAAATCAGACCCCCAGCCCCACAGCTGGCCCGCCGCCCGGAGAGGCCACCGCTCCCCAGCAAGGACGACCTGGCCGAGAGCGCCCACTCAACAGTCGACAGAGCAAAGGGCACCCAGGGCGGGCCCCCGCTACAGCAAGGGGGCCAACCAGCCGGCCCAGCACAGCCCCCAGCCACCACCAGAGGCCACCAAACCCATCCCCATCCCAGAAGACACACTACACCCACCCCAACATTCGGGCCACTATCAAAACATACAACACAAAGACACCATAGGCTGGGTTGTCTCCACCCCCCCTCACTGGCCCCATGTCACGCCCCCAGCCAACCCTACCCCCCAACCCATGAGAACCGCAGACCACCAGTGTACCGGAGGCTCCCAGCCCAGAGCCGGGCACCAGGGCACACACCGGCCCAGGGCCCGGCAACCCGCCCACCAGAGCCACAGCCCAGGGGCGGCACGCCCCCAGAACCCCAAGCCCCCCGCGCCCACCCCGGACCCGCCTCAGCACGGCCAAGCAACCGGAATCATTTTTAGCTGTGGTCTCATAAAATGTCAGCTCAAAATTTCTTAAAACAGCTGAATTCAAGCCATTTTAGCCATGATGACCATCTTGAATTTTCAAATCCGGAGTGCTTTTCTTTATTTGTATGTGCCCTCCCCCCAATTAAAAAAACCCACTCCTTGCAAAAAAAGTCCACCTCTGCTCCTAGTTAAAGAAACAAAATGGTAGCTAAGAACAGCAGAATAGTAGCTAAACAGCACAAGGATGGATGGATGGATGGATGGATGGATGGATAGACAAAGCTGAAGAAATTTAAAAATATATAAATAGGAGGCCCTGTGATGGACTTGTGAACTGTCCAGGGTGTACCCCACCCCTCACACAGTGACTGCTGGATATGGGCACCAGTGTCCGCTGCAACCCTGAAAGGAAGAAGCCGGTAAAGGTTATGAATGGATAGAAATAGGAGTTTTATTTTAAATCAATTTGAATATTTTTCAAAGTATAGCGTTACAACAAACATACATTGTGGCACAGTATTCATGATCTCATAGCTGAACATTTCATTATATAAATTGTTTAAAAAAGGCACAAAGTGTGGTAAAATAATGTGGTAGTAGCTGAGAATCATCCTCAACACATTAACTGGTGGTGCCCTAAAGTTGGGGTTTGGGACCCCACTGTGAGTCCTGAAATATCAAGGTGGGTTCTTGAAAGTATTTAAAATGGCCAATTGAAAGGATATACAGTAATTATAGGCTACGTTTTAAAATGATTACAAAACAACAATTATTTTTAGATTAGTTGCTACAAAAGTGTGAGTTTACTTAAAAAAAGATTACATT